GGTGGGATCTTTGTTCTTCGCGTCCTTGTTGTGTGAGTCATGGTAATCGCACATTTTTGACGCGATAGATGTTTGTGGGAGCAGTAGTCCTGTGGGTAGGAGTAGTGTGTCATCCGTGAACGGCGGTATTGGTGGAGGCAAGGAGTGGTTAAGATGTCAAATCTACCTTGCAGTTGACTCGACACTGAGCTAATCCGCCAATCTGAAGAAATTGCAGAAAAAACGGGAGCATATAGTTGGCTTCCGCCGGATGTGGAGATAAGTGGCGTGCGGGATGCACATATGTGAGATGGAGTAGGAAGTGGCGTTACCCTTTTGAAAAAATCTCTTCTATTAGCATTGCCTTGCCAACAATTACAGCGTGGTACGCGATGATGGATAGGAGTATCTAGTAGATATGTGCTGTTGGTTTTAATTAGTTCAGCATATCGCCACGCAGTGTGGTTGTAGAAGGGTGGTTTACCCCGTGTCTTTTATACTTTAATGTCTCCTGTTGACGCCGGCTCGTACGGGGTTCAAGCTGTCGGCAGATAACAGCAGGTTATCTACATCACTGGATTGTCTACTCTTGCGACATTGGATTCTGTTTGTGACAATGCTATCGGGCTCACGATAACCCTCTTTCCCCAATGCTTAGAGCCTATCCCAGCTGACATGTTCAATGTGTTCCAATCAGTTGGCCCACCGGTGTTAAGAATGGGGGTATCTTGTTTCGCCAGCTGTCCTACTGGTGAATTTTGATGTTTTCAGAAACCATGGAGTTTGAAATCTGCCTCATGATAAGAACAGTCGAGATACACCTCGACGCACATAGTTACCTCACTAGATACACTTTCTTTTTGGATGTTTATTTAGGAGTTCGTGGTTTATATGGTCTTTTCTTCCGACGCTAGTGATGAAAGTTCTCCGATGGTCCTTTGTAGAGGTGTCGTATCAGGCTTAATCCGTAAATTGTTGCACTAGGTCTGTTAGGCTATGGTGAGTTCACTATTCAAGTCAAGTCAAGTCAATATGAGCTTTATATGCCCCATAGGATATATTTTCAGCATTTTACAATATCCGCTGGGAATGTTTTAAAGCAACAGCATTAGAAAGCAAACTTGTGCAACCGGATAAGTGTCAATCAAATATACGATCCCGAATCTGCATCCGATCCGGACGAGAATTTCTTAAATTGCATAGCGCGTTCGGCAACTTCGCACGATTCGCGCAGTATCTCAATGACCATTTGCAAAAATCGGCAGGGACGGCGTTAGTGACCTTGTAACTAATCTAACAAAAGATGATGTCAAAAAGCTTAGTGGAAACTGATAAATCCGCAGCAACCATAGTAAGAGCGATGTTCCAGTTCAGGAATCGGTCCACCGATACTTCTATTTTATGTAACGTAGTATGTACGTGCTTACACCTTTGGTTATTTGTGTTATAGCGGAGGCAATAGTACTCCACCACTCCCCGTGGTTTTGTGAGTTTTATTCCACTCATCCCTATTCACTCAGTCCTCTTTTACGGTTCCCCACACACGTTTCTATTACTTCACCTTTGTGACTAGCTTGGGTTGACACTGAATCTTATGCTTAATGATTTTTCCCTTACTCTGTACATTTCGCTCGTTCGTGAGACATCGTATCGATCCTTCGCCCCGAGAATGACTAGCTTTGATTGATCGATTGTCAGACTTTCTGCATAGCCTGTGTATATACCCTAATTTGAATCATGTCATTGAGTTGCACACACAGACGTTTGGTGGCCGGTTGGGTGTGCGGCGTGAACATTGTTTTTTACCCGGTCGTTCGTGTTCTCACTACCGTTAGTGGGTGGAAGCAATCGTGGGGTTCCGACATAACAATTTGTGCTTGAGCTTCAGTTAGCAAGTGATAACTGTGGTGCTAAGTTTCAGCATTAGTCATGCTGGTTGCCCATCAAACGGGCGAGCTGAGCGGATTTGGGCCGACCATCTGAGCGATCGCCGCCAGCCAAGCAACGACACCCACGCGTATGAGCGAGAAGCATCTCGTAAGCCCGCACGGCCAATTGGTTTATTCGATGAATATGCTAAAGTTTAGCCAGTGGCCACCCATCAAGGAAGAACGAATCAGAATCGCAAAACAGTGCGCAGTTTGTCCAATAAATAATATGTCGCATTCTGATCAAATATCTTTCTGATCGTGACCCAGACTGCTTTTTCATTCATGGAGGGCCACCCGACAATGACATGGCAAGCAAACTTACAGAAACCGCCAGAAGGACTACGTAACGTCATTATGAGTATCTCCACGATTTGAAGCGATAGGGTTGACCGCATCAGGCTGGCAGGTCATATTACTTTGGTCTGTGCTTCCCTATTACGCCAACCTGTTTTTATATTCCAACACATCCACGATTTTCACGCTATTTTTGATTTATCACGATTTGCGTTTTCGAGCACTTTTATTATTTTATTGCAATCATGGCGAACTTTTTATTATGACAGCTCTGTTCAGTGCTGTTCCGTTTTCTCTATGACGACTGACGTGCCAAACTAGACAGATTGTCAACCGGTAATTCACTTATAGTCGACCTGATTGTTCTGAGTTACTGAGGTCATCTCGCTGCAAACTGTCGTCCATCGATTTGTCGGTCTCGCTTTGGGCCAGCCGCAGCAGATTGCGGGGCAAATGAAATTCCGACGCATATTTTCTAGATCGCTCCTTGCCGCAGAGTTCCTTCCACATGTATACTTTAGCCACCTCCAGGCAACAACTCGTGGGAAAATATTCCGCATTCTTCAGAAGCGGTAGGGTCAACTCTGTTTCCCCAATCCAGCCCTTACAGAGCGTCTCCAAATGAAACAACCTTATCCACTGGTGGCACCTCATCCTTGATTCACTAGACATTACATATACACATTGTAGAATTGGCTAGATTCCGATTTGACTCAATGATGGCCAACTGAAACGAACAACATATTTTGAACTCACTAAGCTTGTTATATGTGAAGCAGATGTTGGGTGTTGCTGTGTACTTGATTGTATATAAACTCAGTTGACTGGCTGTGGCTGTTTCACACTATCGTGATAAATCTGGATATGGTAATCTAGCGACCAGCCCTTATCCCCTATTCCAACGTGTAGGTCAACATGCCACATTATCGCAACCATCGGCCGAATAACCAAAATCCAATTTCTTTTATGCATCCATCATACAAACAGAATAATGGAAACTACCAACTTCCGTGTTAGTTTAGGTCTCCTCTACGTCATGCGATCTGATGAAGAAGTGTCTTCATGACAAACGCCAAGTTCAAAAATCAGTGTAACGTCATTGCAATCCTCGGTTCGATTATCCTACCTAATGGGGCACATAGTTCTCCAAAGTCAAAACTTCTCTTGAACCGGGTATGGGACTAAAGAAATGGTCTTCATGAGGTCATGTGACCAATTAGATGCGAAGACAGTGCAGTGTGAATGAAAGATTATGTCAAAGTCCACCAGCAGCGACTACCAGCTTACACCTTCTATTCTAGATCAATTCGAAAATTTATTGTGTTTACTTCGTCCAATCCTCGATGCCGAGTGTGCTGTCGTGTAGTAAGCTAGCGGACAGACAGAGGATGTCTGAACAATGCTCTGACCTGGTTATTTGTGCCACTTAGTCAGGCAACAACATGCTTTTCTTGGTGTTTGAGTCGGAAAGGTTGAAGAGATCCTCTATCTTACCCACTATTCCAGGAGCACCAGCAACCAAGATGATGCGAGAGCGGCGCTCTGCTGCCATATGTCTTCCGTTCTTTGAAGATGGCGGTTGTGTTCTTTAAAAGGCTTGTACAAAAATGCCTTACAATATGCAATTTCCGTTTTAGCTACGGCTTTCATTCTATTCTATCGCCTTTAGCTCATTCATTGTATAGTTCTCGATAAATTGGTATGCATGACCATGGATGATTACGATGCATTGTTCCTGTCTGGTAAGGGCACCGATTGCTTAGTGATACGGGGCATCATTTGGTCTCTCGTACTCGACTGTCTTGTTCTGTATTAGTATCTGTTGTACTCGAACCTCCAAAGCAGTCTCGGGCATGTGTTTTGCATGTATGTTAGCCGTCTGATTCTTTACATGTAAAATAATGTGTCTGGCCCAGTGAGACTTCCATGTGATGGGTCAGTGACACGGCAAAAGAGCAGAGGAGCTTCATTGAATGGTTAAATAGGGCTGGTATTGGTGGACGCCTTTGGGTGTGACTTCGGAGTCGGCCACATTGGTGGTGGCAAGCATGACATAATCACGAAGCCAGTGATGCTCTTGCATTCGTTCCCTTATTTCCCGCCTTAAACTACTCAGTTTGAATGCTTTAGTTTTTCCATTCCTCTTAGGCTATTGCTCTTAGTATTGTCATCTCGTGTCTTCAGTCGAACAAGCTGCATCCATTGCAAGTTGGAGCATGGAGCACTGTCGATTGACGGAACCGAACTAACCGGTCAGGAAATAATGGCTGTGTGTTGGCAGTGTGTGCCGAGGACACTTTGCCCGTTCACAGCTGGGGCCACATATCACCGGAGTGTCCTCTAATTGCATTCCTGATGGCTAAAGGTTGCACGCACTTCTGCTGAGTGCTTTGACAAATGTACACCACAGAAGTTATCTGGTCAGCCTTAAAATCCACTGTACTCAGGTGCGAATACGGACTCATAACTTTTCCACTTATCTGAGTCCCGGGATAGCAGCTTTGAGGAGATAATAGACGTTTTTTGTGGGAGTTAGGGTTCTTCACTACAATTCATTTAAACATCTCGGCATACAGTTGCTGAAGATGTTTGGAGCGAACCGTGAACAGCTATCCTTTGAATCAACCGCAATTTCAATATCATCGTTGCGCCTTTCCATATTCCTTTCGGGAGATTATTATTTACGTTGCTTTTTTGTTCAATTAGTTCTGAGTCAATGTCGGTGACAATTGCTACATGGTTTTATTCCCTTTCTCTTTATTTTTCATCTCGTCTTCTTCCCCGACCGCCATTCAGTTATGATGCCGTTTCTTCTGTTTCTATTTGGCCGATTCTTCATCGACACACATCGGGTGTGGATCCCATATGGCAACATTTGTGCACAGTTACTGCAAGTCTCTTTGCCTGCTCTTCTCGGCCTCGGAACACGCTACTGGAAGCCCAAGCTGGCCAAGACATTCACCAAGTTGACAAGACCATTCTTCATTGCATTTATTATTTTCATTCTCACCTTCGGATTGTATGCACATTGGGCCATTTTGAGGCTACTTGGTTCCTATCCAATTGTAATGCCCACTGGAGCTATGCTGCCTTGGATAGGATTCAGCCTGTCCGCATTGATTTGTTATTTGCTACGTCAGCCGCGTTCTCTTGTGATCACGGTTGCATTGGAGACCGGTATTCAAAATGTGAGTGTGGCTATACTCGTTCTGCTCTATTCAATGCCTCAACCGGCTGGAGATTTGGGCGCTGTGATGCCAATCACCGTCTCCATATTCACTCCAATCCCGTTGTGCTTCATCTGGATGGCAATAGTGATCAAACGCCGATGGTCTCGGTCCAAGCCGTCACCACAAACGGTTGTGAACGGAGGTTACTCTCCCAAACTGGAGCAGCCATTGATAAACGAAGCCGGTGGACCACCCAAGCTGTTAGTCGAAGATCTGCTGCATTCCGAACGGACGTGACCTGTTTTTGTACCCGTTATTATATTCCCGCCGTTTTTCTCGTTCTAGACGCATCCTTTGCAAGCTCAACCGCCCTTTCAGCCGACTGTATGTACATCATCCCAAACCTAATCCCCAACTCCCATCTTAATATGCAATACTTCTGATTTACTAAGATTATGCCTTAGTGTCAATTTTTCTGCGTATCGCGAATTTATGCCTCGTTTCGTTCTTGGTGGAGTATATTTTCATTTCGTCCTCAGTTTCCTTATTCTTATATCGGCTATCTGTGCTTGTTGCGCAGTAACATGCAACGGTGTTGCTACGCCACTTGTGTGGTATTCCTTTGAGAGGTGGCTTTAAACAGGCTAACTACCATTGCTCTCAACCAGCCAGCCACCCAGCATCCAAAGACTTGTTAAACAATTGGTTCATCTCTCCGAAGTTTGATCAGGTAAAGAACGAAAACCGTAATCCTTCTCGTAACATGTAACAGGCGATGAAAGTCAGTTTGCTGAAGTAACTGGTTCGACCTGGGACCTCTTACAAATTAGACAAGAGGATTTCAGACCATCTAGGATTCCTTTTCAAGTCATAAAGGCCATAGTTTATTTTTGCTGATGTTCATACGCAATTTGTTAACAAAGAAGTAAACATAAATATTAAAGATAGTAACTTGATGCAATACTGTCGCGCTCCAGCTTTCAACAAGTTTATCGTCATATTGTGGACGTAATTCGCGATACCCTGCCGCGTTACCGTTCCGATGCTCACTTAATTGACCACATCTAGTCTCTGGTCAGGCTTCGAGATTGCTGTCAGGTGTCCAGCAGACCGCTTCTCTTTTGGTGACATTTTCTATACTGGGTTAAGGGCGACAGGAACTTCAACTGAAAAGACCACCCTAGGATCCTCCTCGGATCGTCCGCCATATGAATCCTGATGTTTTCCATGATCAAGCATGCACCGTTCGACTCCAGTTCGCAACCTATATGCACCACAAACTGTTCGGCAAAAGTGCAACCGTTGGCACCCTTGGGGCGCCATTGGTGAATATGTTGGTGTGAGCTATGTCCTGGTCATCTATCACCATACCTAAGTATATCAGGTGGCCTCTGACTGTGGGTAAAGGGACGTTCGCACGCTTCCATTTTATTGATCGCACTATCACCTATCACAAATGGAAATTGAACCCACTCTCGCTAAAGCAGATGTACTTTCCATTTTGTTGGGCATGTACCGAGAAGGTGAGGATACGGGTCTACTATTCTGCTATTGTCGTGGCGCTGGGGATACGGAAAAGGTCGTAATGGCACTTCATGAGCTTGACCTTTCACTAACTAAGGGCGTAGCAAATCATACATGCGACTAGGCCGAATTCGGTCTCCTTCAGCCGATGTTGTATCTACACGAAATATTCTCCGAATGTCATCCAGCGCACCAGCGTCTGAAGTCAGCTTTTTTCACTGCAGTTTCACTGAACAATGGCGTATCCTAGCAACTTGGACAGTCTCGTGGATTATTTTGCCTTCTACGATCAGAACCTTGTTAAAGATATCTTTTGCAGCCAAAGATGTTCACTCACGACTCATAATTGTCGGGACACGTTGAAATTCGTCGATAGCAATGGAGCTCAAATGGTGAATAACAAACAGCTATTTTCCCTCGAGGTGAGGTTGTTTTGCCAGTATTCCTGTTAGCCAGATTATGGATTCCCTTGCCAAATACGACGAATGCAAATGTAAACAAAGGATGGTTGCCCGGAGGGGTAACCTTGAAGCTCCTCCATATCGGATAGCGTTCTGGCAGTGGAGTAGCAAATACTTTTGCCACCCGGGGCGGCGGCAACATTTTCACCCTGACTGAGGGCAGAATAGACGCGTGAAGGTCACACAATCGGCTCACGGTAACGTGCACGGTAGTTTTCGATGAAATGGATGGTCCTTTTGGATACTGAGATCAATGTGGCGAAAGTGACCACAAGGGGACAAGTAAATGAACCGCCAGGAAGAAGATTTACACAGATGGGACATATGGCGCAATGGTGTTGTTCGTCATACAGAATAACCATTAAATATTCAACCCCAGCTTATCTGGAAATGTTGTCCGCTATATTTGGTATCGAGTAAGCAGCGGTACTAAAAATGCTACCTCCTGTCATGCCGCCCGGGGCGGACCACCATCCACCCCGCCCTCCTTGCTGCGCCTCTGGTCCTGGTGATCGGAATGACCGAGGTCTCAATGTAGATTACGTGTCGCAATCCAACCACAAGGCGGGTACCCCAAGCCCAACTTTCAAACTGACTTGCTGTTAGTGGAGCTGAAGATGCGGCTTCAGCAGTGTACCCACAACGTCCAGTTTCGCTTTTCCGAACAGTTATGCGGACCAAAAAGCGGGCTAGCTACAGGGTTGCCATTGAGCCTTTTGTTCACTGGTGTGTTTATGTCCAAATTATAGAAGGATCCACTGAGTGAACTGACTGAGTGGCTATCACTCTTTAAACGCCACCTTCTGACTTACAGTTAGACCTCCGTAAGTTGATCACTCAAAGGACTCGATCAAAATGTTCAGCATATGGAAGTCTTATACGAAAATGTAGTGTATGCTACTTTACAGTTGTGAGTAGTACATTATCCATATTATTTTCACTTACATCCTGCCTCGTATGTATTAGATGAGCTCGTACCTGCTGGCAAGCACAGTTACATCATGCAGTTTTATAACAAATCAAAACGCCGTGTGGTTTGCTCGAAGTTATTTCGAAAAAGGCGTCTTTTTCTGCTGTTTTCACTAATCACTAACTTCACTGAACAGGTTAGCTTAGAACTGGTTAACTGACGGTTAAACCGGTACTCAAAATCTTGATTGCGACCTGTACGTTGAGCGGACAGAAGTATCTAGGGGTGAGTGTGTTAGTGCCCTTATATGTACAACATGATTGTGCCACAGTGACAGGCAAATCCGAAACCGGATGCCGCCAAACATGTACAACATGCCGCACTGCGTCCAAAGCTATTGATCGTTCGACTGGCTCATGTGGTCTCCCTATTCCCAGCTCTCCACCAACTCACACTGTTGCGGGGCTGTCATGCTGGTCATCAAAGGGTAGAGCAAAATCCATGGCCTCGCTCACGTTTGTGTGCCCCCGCAAACGCAGGCGCATGCGCGCGGCCATTTTCTGCCCAACACAAATTGCCGATTGAATAGCCGGACAAGGGATATAGACAATGGTGTTGCATATATACGCGCGAGTGCGTCATTAAAAGGTACAAGTCATGGCTGAATTGCGGAGATCGTTCCAAACATATCGGACACAGTGTAGACGAGTGAGGAAAGGGTTCACACTAGAACGATCAAGGACAATCCGGGGAAACGGATCTGCAGGGATAAAATTGCGCGTGCACAAACAGCGACAGTGGACATCCTGTTTCGTCAAACGTCTGCGGCACCATATTTTGACTAACTTTGTAAATTTTATGTTGACCAATTTGCACATGACAGTGATTAATAAGTTAAACTCCATAGGTTGACCAAATTTATGTAGCCGTAATTCTGCAATGTGCGGAACTCTTTTGACACACACACGCTGCTGGTGGGAGTTCAAGCACGAAAAATGTTGTGCAGAAGCTGACCGTTCGCATCCCACGATCGTGACGAGAACAACAACAAGACCAGTCAGGACAGAATTGTATGCAGGAAAGCACTTCATATGAAGCATACATATAAAACGCGTTGGAGCGAAACAACAACATAGGACACAATAATCAATACCGGCAAACAAGAGGCGGTAAAATGATGCAAAAATCACGTGAGCTCGAGAAAACTGTATAAAAGGAAATGGGCCCTGTGGTGACATCCGTCGCGAACCCCATCGGCCGGCCCATCAAAGGAAAGAAATGATGCATCCACACCCCGAGCTACAGATATTCTCATTTATTTCAAATGATGCATTTAAACTAATGTCAAGAAACAAACGATAGCGAAACGGAAGCAGGCACCAAAGCAATGTCACAAAAAATGTATGTCCAGTACGCATCTTCCTAAGAGTTCCCACTTCTTAAAAATTAGTTGCTGAGGATTGTGTAGCTCTTCCTTCGGGAGTCCACTTAGAATGGCCACACACATCGCCTTCCGCTTCTTGGTCTCCCTGTGTTCGATTTCCTAGGGTTTACAAAAGCTCTATGCATTAACTGGCAAGATCTCTCGGCTTTCCATTGTCCAGTATGCCGGCGAAATCTAGTCTGTTGGTATAAAATGTTGCGGTGTTCTGTATGTAGCGCGGACCTATTTGAATGGCATGGCGGATCCATACTAGCGTGCCGACACGGATCTCATAAATCATTCGAATACGGCGCCGCCCGAAGATTCCAGGTATCAATTTGAGCCTGTTCCCCTGGTGAGAGACTACAAACACCTGGGTTCCGAAGTCAAAAACACTGTACCAGGTTTCCCTTACGGGATACCTACTGCGCATCACTTGGGGTTTAGGGGTCCGTAACTGCAAAAGATGTTCTTAGTTTTGCGCGCATAACAATTACCGCAGGTGACTTCACATATGACGCATTTGGATAAGTAACAAGTCGATAATTAAACCGAAATGTCCCCAGCTTTCTTCTGTTGACTCTTTTTCTTTCAATTCCAAGGCACTGGTTTCATGGAACCCACAAATCACTCAGTCTGTGCTTTAGATTTGTGCGTTTAGGTACAACGTTCGTGTGTCTATTCTATTGCGTGTACAAAACTCGGCAATCTGATAAGACGTGATTAACGTCCTGTTATCCGACGTAATATTTTCTGGTTAACCATGTTATCTGAAAATGCATCACAACGCATATAGGGTACTGGTTGCTGATGTGTTCTGTATCATGGTTACTTTCGGCCACTTGCTATAGGCATTGACAACCATAAGGAGAAGAGGTGAGTGGCAACCTCTTCAGATCATGTGCCGATGCTACGTTTGCTCGATCAAAACATGCGCAATCCGTTCCTATATGGCTTGTTTGTGTTGTCCACGGACTTTAAATGGTAGCACGAGAGTACACCTAGGTCATTCACGGAGGGTGTGGGATATAGTGGTTGGCCGTCAAGGGTGTAGATTGGCCGTCAACAGTCTTCCCCAGGCTCATAAATACAGACTTGGCTGTGTTGACCTGGATATGAACTTCTGCAAACCATGTGGATAGGCGGGTGAGGTCTTGCTGAAGTAGATCATCGTCATCGGGAGCGTCAATTTCTCTCCAAATCTTCATGTCATCCGTAAACAAGGCACACAGCGACCGGAGA